ATCGGTCGGGCTCTAGTCTGTACCATGTGCATGCATGTGTAGCTAATGTAGGCTATGTATCCAAAGTCAGTGTTGTTGTTAATGAGGGCTGAAGTAAACGTGAATGGTGGTTTTATGCTGATGTTGCGTAATTGATGGAAAATGTTTTTGTTTATTGTTATTTAGAAAGAAAGAAAAAACAACATAGGCCTACCTGTCTATGAAATGTTTTCTTCGTGAAGTCTCCACTTCCTGGATCGAACGAGCCCGCCGAAGATTTAACCAATCAGGACACACCATTTATTCTAAACCCCGCCTACTGGATATCAGAGCTTTATTGTATCACACTTAAAAGTTTTTTGTTTTTTGGGGTTTTTTTGTTTTTTTGTTTTTTTATTCCAGTCTTGAATATTAATGTTACTTGTACATTTTTTATTATGTATTTTGTGTTCCAACTTTTCAGGACATCTAAATATTCTAGTTATACAGTTATATGCACTTGAGCTCTTACTGTAGGCTGTTAAAATATATGTTGTGATTGAGATAGGATTGAAACTTTCACAATTCATGTGAGTCTGACTTGGATAGAGCTCTCCCATTAGAAAAAATCACCCTCATCTATCTCACTTGACATTAACTAGAAAACAATGAACACTATTCTATTGAACATAAAAAGAGATATACTACATCATCACCATCATCAGTTTTTGTAATGTGTCTATTTCATTCCGAAATCAAGGAAAATCTGCAAAGGGCAAGCTGAAGCCTTCACTGTTTCACTGTTTATATTTTGAGGTCCAAGAGTTACCAACCGTGTCCTATGCCCTTCTGACCTGGGTGGAGCGGATGCCTCCCGCTGGTCACCCACTGTAAAAGCGCATCAGAGCATTTCCGAGGTAAATCAAAACAAGTGAACACAATTAAACTTCAGACGACAGGTGTCAACAAATATCTCATCTGGATCTTATTTCTCTTGTGTGTTGCCTGTTCGTCTAATGACCTCTGGCCGTTACGCAGGCTGAGAAACCCCAAATAAACCAACATTAACTGAAAACAAAGGAACTGCCCCAATCCGAAAATGTACCGCCCAACTTCATAAACACCAGTAGTCAACCAAGCAGTGACTTTCTCAAACGAGCTGTCGGTTTCCCCATTGTTAGGTTATGTTGTGATTACAGAACTCCTACACTCTTTAAGTCGATTCACCTTAACCTACATGGGGCGGCATTTGTCATAGCTGAGGGGTTTTTTAAAGACTTGATCGGGGGGTTTGTGTACACTCACGCTCCACTGCGAGAATTATCTTTGCTTCACGTGGTCCTTCCCAAGTTTGCCCAGGCTCCGTGACAAAGAAGAAAAAGGTTTACCCAGAGGAGTTGTCAGCACATGTACTAGTATGTAACTGCTGATGTCAAACAAGCAGATTGGATTGGAGTTGATATTGTGCCATCATTAAATGGCCAATATTGTGTTATTTTCTGATCTATATTATAATGTTTCCTCATCACAAACATACCTTGGGTTGTGTTTTGTTTTATTCACACATATTTAAACACACAAACTCTGCATTTTTAGGCTGAGTTCTTCTCTCAAATGAAAAACAGTCTGTTCCATCTTGTGATTTAATGCGGTAATACTTGAAGGTCATGAGCTGCAATAAATGATGAGTACTTAATGAGTCATAGAAATTATTTATTCAACTCTCTACAGCTCAGATTTAACTGCAGTACAGAAAGAAAGCAAAAAGTTCCACACTAATACAAAGAAAAACTACCCACTATAAATATTGCCCCATCAAAAAGTATTGTTCCATTTAACATATATTGAAGTTCATATAGGCCTAGCAAAATGAATATTTTTTTTGATCATTTTTATTTCAGTCACAGGTATATTTTGACATTAATTCACAGGCAGCCATATTTAACATACACAGACCGAAAAGGTGTAGGCTGAAGCTTAAGCTTATTATGCCTTTACCCTTTTTTCCTTTATCAGAGTGTCATCTTAACACCAGTTCATCTTCATAAATACAGCAAGATGAAACAAACAAATCAGAAACAGTACAACAAAGTACTACAGCACAAACTAAGTATTTATGTATTTGCCCAGAGTTAAACATTTAAACTTCTTTATAAAGTGAAAGAGAGTGGTGCACAATTTTAGGTTTTCTGTACAGTTGTTCCAGAGGTGCACCCCTTTAACAGATTTTGTTTGTTCTCATTTTCTTTTTGATAAACATGACTGTGCCTCTGAGCTCATATTGGCTCTTTTGGACTTTTGAACATGTTCTGTAAAGATTTTGACAGGAGATTGTTGTTTACTTTGAACATGATTTTCAGAGTATAAAGGTCGACTAAATCATAAAATTTCAGAGTTTGAAGGTTTATAAATAACACATTGGTTGATTCGTTATAAGCTGATAATGTGATTGCTCTTATTGCAGGTAAAGACTGGCTTTGTATTAGTCTTATATGTATTGCCCCAAATCTCATTACCGTAGGTTATGTAGGGCATTACCAGCGACTTATATATAATAAAAAGACTGTTTTTATCTAGAATATATCTATATTTGTATATAATTGCGATCACTTTGGATCATTTATTTCAAATTTTATTTATGTGTGATTTCCGGTTTAAATTAATTAAATCTTGAGTCTAGTTTTAAGATTCATAAATAGTTAAAGGTCCTATATTACAAATAATTAACTCTTGTAAGATTTAAGTGATGTTATAATGCTGCCTCTTCAAAAACAGACCTGGAGTTGTGTTTTGTTTCATTCTCACCTTTTATTTTTAGAGTAGAGATTGGCAGTTCTAGGTCTGAAATCATCCAGATGACTTCACTAGAAGAAGATATACTGAGTTTAAAACACATGTATCACCCCAAGATATCACAGCTTGAGAGAAGAATTTGTGTGTTAAACATGTGTGAATGAAACAAAACACAACTCCAGGTATGTTTGTGATGAGGAAAACATTATAACATAGAGCAGAAAATGTAACTGAAAGGGGAAGGGGGGAGCTTAGCACCAAACTCCAAAGAGGCATTATTCCCCCCTCCTCCTCCTCTTTGTCAGTCCCATGATGGTGATCCAAGATGGCAGCTTGGGGCGGCTCTGTGCCTCTTTCTCAGCCTCACAGAGTAATTGGTGACCCAGCACCACCTGACGGGGCGACTCCAGGAAGAGGGTCCTCAAAAGTAAACAGGACCGGCCCAAGCGGAACTAAAGGGCATGTGGCCAGTCACACCAGCTTCAAGTGATCTACAGGAAGTGTGAAGGTTACAGAGTCTATACAAGAATAATGCATGGGACTCTTGTTTGGTTACGGAGAATGAATGACGTCTCTAGACTCATGATTATCAAACAGTGAAGCAAAATAAAAGAAGATGGTCATAGGTAAGGATGTAACCAAAATATTGTAATATTGTATGGCCAAAAAGTCTCTCAGTAATATCGTGGGCCATCACAATATATTGAATTTCAAGTCTCTTTGCTTAAATTCAAAGTTATGGTGCAGCAACAGCTGCAATAATTCTTTGTGCTTTTTGAGTGCAATTTACTCTTTTTAATAATTCACTTTTAAATCTTTGGTTTATGACAGAACCAAGGCATTTTTACAAGAATAAGTAGTATATTCACAATTTTTTTTAGCTTTTACAACATATGGCAATAAATATCGTACCTTGAGATGTATATCGTGAAAATATCATACTGAGAAATTTGGATCTCGGTACATCCATAGTCATAGGTCAACTGTGTGAATGTGTGAACAGGAGAGACAATAGTGGATTAAAGACGTCTGTGTAATCCGTCTTTATCCAGCTATGACCCACACAAAAGAAAAATTAAATTCTGGCAACTGGACAAAAGAGTTAAGACGTTCCTCCTCTTCTCATCTGGCTTCTTCAGACTGTCCAGCAATCTGACCAGAACTGAAGAAACCACTTGGATGAGTGACAGTACATCTGAGTTTAATTTTCTTTTGCTATGTCACTATTACAAAAGTTGTGTTGGTGTTTAGTTTGTGGGAAATTTTACCTTTGTGTGATCGTAATATGTAACTTTCATTTATATCGTATTGAATCATAAATGTCCTCACTGTGGGGCAATTACCGTATAGCTGAGAGGTATGGCAAAAAATAGAGACTTTTAAACAAATCTCTAGTGCCATTTAACTCACAAAATCATCTATTTATTCCTCCCATGTCTAAACTGTGCTCCAAAGAACCTGCTTTTACAACCACAGAATTGGCTGGAAACCTAAACACACTGAGCCAATATTGCAGTCTGTTAATGATAAGACTCTTAATTCCCCAGTCCTAAAATAAAGGTTCTCTTATCACATAATTAATACTTCATTGCTCTGAAAGCAAAGCCTTGTGTCTGTTTCTTTTCCACTTTCAATTTTCTTGGTCTGGACTTTGTTGTTTGACAATAAGCAGGTCTCTAATAGCTCTCCTCTGAGCAGTGTTACGGGGACTATTATTTACAGTATTCTCTCTGTTTGGCTGATCGACTCTGGTGCATGTGTTTGTGCTTTGTAAATCTTGGGAGAAGTCTGGTACTTTTTTACTTGCTCTGGATAACAGTTAATTTAGCAGACCCTTTACAGACACACTTTATTTCAGTTTAAAGTCAATCTTAAGTTAACATAATTATTTATAATCACATTTACTTCTTTAATTAGTTTAGATTTAGGATTGAGGTCTCCCATCGCCTCTAGCAACAAGATACATTACTTTATATCCTTAACACTGCACTACTGAACCATTTGTCTGTTCCACTGGGTATTTATTTTATTTTATTTTATTTTATTTATTTATTTATTTTTTCCCCTAAATTCCTTGATGATTTTTTTTTTCTAAATTCTAACTTTTATTTATTAATTTTTTACTCTTTGTAGTTAACGAATGTTGGATCTGATGATGTTGATGTTGTCTGCCCTCTAGCGACAGAATTGCCACATTGCAACTTGTAAACTTTGCAAAACAGCTCAAAAACAGTTCTTTAAGCAATTAGCTCATATAAAAGTTCTTTAATAAAACATAACAGTAAAATATTACAAACTGTCTTTAAAAATATTTATAGTGTCACCAGTACTGGGTTATACATTTAGTTGTGTACAGTAAAAAATCCCCTTTGGCCTGGGCTTGGATAATGAAATTAAAGCTGGGGATCGGACAATAAACAATATTGTTTTGTGTGATAAAAAGATAAAATAATTGTCATTGTATCACCAGAATGTGCTGAAAAAACATACTTATCCTTGATGTTTTCTTCTAGATCATTGTTGTTTTCGTTCATAACAAAGTACAACTCTTTAACAGGTTTTCAAATATGTAATTTAACTCATAATATTAAAAGTATAATTAATCATATGCATAACATTTTTAAACTGACAGCAGCAACTGTAATAATTGTGATATAATCGTAAATCGAAATTATTTTCACCATGATAATTGTTGCACAAAAACACACAAATTTGAATATTGTACCATCCCTAATTAAAGCTATGCAGATATTGCCTGGTTTATCTATGCTGCTTTATAGTTTCAGTAGCCAAGTTGGAGGGGGTCCGCCGGGCATCGTGAAGTAGCTCCACCACCAGGGCTTCTCCACTCTCTCCTCGCGGGCCTGCGTCACCTCCGCTGTTCTTGCGGTGTAGCGCTGGTACTGGTTGTATGGGTCGAAGCGCTCGTATGTGCCCATAGAGGGGAGAGAGTCGTCCTCGTCTGACGCGGTGGTCCCGGCTCCAGACTTCTGCAGGGTGAAGTCCACTCGTCCGGCCGTGTGCATGTTCGGAGGCAGGTGGACCTTCTTCACTGCGCGGCTGAAGCCAGGAGCGTAAGCTGAGACGATGTGGATGCCCGGGGTGAGAAGGCGCCAGTAATCTCCATTTTCAGCTGAAAGTTTTTAAAGATTCATTAGGTAACTTTTTTGTTGGGGGGCAGTCACGTACTTGTTTCTATGGATATGTCATTGCTCTGCCTGGAATGTTGCACAGTATGACATTAAACACCTCTACCTCACATTTACTCAATAATAAAGGTGGTTTTATAGCTCAAAAATAGTGTGGGAGTGGGGTCGCCTCTCCACAGATCTGACTTGTAGCTTGGTCTGGTTTGATTTCCATGAAGATAGAAAGATTTAATACTGTACTGCGAAGCATTCCAGACAAACAATAACACCCTTCACCAGAAAAGTTACACAATGCACCTTTAATTCAGGGCTGCACAGTAAAAAAAAACTCACGTGAATAATAACATCTGTATATTCCTTTTTAATTTAGCCTAGTAATTGTTTTTAGAATTTGGAAAAAAAAAAAAAAAAAAAACACAAAACACACATGATTGGAAAGATGTTTTTTTTTAATGCAACTGTATAGTTCATAGTACACCTTTGATGCTTGATCCATTGAATCTTCTGGATCAGTTCATTTCAAAGAGCTGTTCAAAAGACTGGCTCTTTTAATATTTATGTATATGATAATAAAGCCAGTGTGAGACCTCATTTTATCTACAAATTAATCACAGAGAAATGACCAACACTCAGATTTGTGTAAAATTATTAAAACTGAGAGTGGGAGTCTTTAACCTTTGAAATTATGCATAATCTAAATAAAAAGGTGCACTACAATAATAATAATAAAATAATATATGATGATAATAATATAATAACACATATCATATTTTTGTGCCCAAATCTCTCACTCATTGTGTTAGATTATGAAGAGTAGGGGTGGGATTAAATAAATTTTCTTCTTCCCACTCCTTTTTGGGCAAAATAATAATAATAATAGTAAATTTTTGTTGTTATTTTCATTTCTATTATGATTTCACTTATGTTATATGTTCCACTGTATATGAATGTAAATCTTTACTTGCCCCAAAAAATGCATAAATAAATAATAATAATAATAATAATGATTAAAAAAAATACTCTGCTCTACTTTGTGCTGATTCTTGTGTTGGTTCAGCATTAATAAGTATAAAAATGCATACAAATTAGAAAGAAAAAGATTCAGTTCTTTAAAAAATGAGATTCGGTTCCAAACATTCACGTTAAGGAGCCATTTCAAAACTCTTTCATAAATGTCACACCACTGTCTGATAATGTCTGAACTGTGAGCTATGATAAACCAAGATAGATTTCCAAAATAGATAGATTAAGATAGATTTCATTTGTTATACTTGCTTAAATTTATAATGCGCATTTATGGTACAAAATAACTCTGATCTAATTTTGTATCAACATATTTCTTTTTGTGTCTGTGATTTCTGCTGTTATAAAATCCACGGTAACTATATTGACTTTAACCTCCCAGAGAAAATGTGTCCATAGTTTTGAAATAACACGTATTCGGTATAGATGCAGCTCTATTAAATAATGTGCTTGAAAATTGAAAGGAATTGCAGACTAAAGTGGCTTACAGTTGTAGTATTTTAATATAGTTGTAGTATTGCTGAAGTACCTGTGGTTATGTCATGCCTGATTCCTCGGACTGAAATGCGAGCTCCTTTGATTGGATTTCCCTCGTCGTCTGTGACAACGCCTTTGATCCCACGATGAGCCTGAGAGAAAACAGTAAAGAGGAGATGGAGCAGAGCGGCAATGAAAAAAACACACAGTAAACAATCTTTTCACAACTTCACAGCACTATATTTAAATATTCATATTTGCATAGTTTAGTTTCTGTATACAGTAAGTTGTTTCTTATTGTATTTAATGGTTTCAATAATGTTGTTCATTTTGATAAATATACTTTAAGGCAAGACATCTGATTTAAATTGTGACTCAGATGAGATTTTTTTTGGCAATTGTTCAGCGGCATTTAGTCCAAAATCCCCTCTGGATATTTTAGTGTCTAATATGTCAACAAAATGAGCAAGAAATTTAAACTTGGCTCTTTTCTTGTTTCCGTTTTAGATGTCCAAAACATTTTGGACTCATGAAATGCCTTACTTTTATATGAAAACAATAACTGATGAAAAACTTGGAATACATTTTTGGTTTAAACTTTTGTAATTAAACTATAGAAGAAGTATCAAAATTTTTTTTTTCCTAATCACCTGCAGTGTCTTGCTTTAAGATTATTTGTTTCAGTGGCATAATTTAGTTTCACTATTGACTATATTTCCTTCTTCTTTCATACTGAGTTTATAAATGTTTCATTGTGACAGAATTATGCAAAAGCAAGAGCAAAAAACAAACAAAAAAATTTATAATATCAGAGGAGACTTACTGCCTCTATAAATGCGAGCAAAGCTTCACTGTTTTCATGCCAACTGTTGAACAGCTCCTCTTGAGGTGGAAACTTGTCACAGCCAAGTGACACTGTTACCTCAAAGCAGTTGGTGTGGAGGTAGTTAAAGTCCTGCATCCCTGAACAAAAGAAAACAAGAAATACAGTCAGACTTAAAGTGTAAGTCTATACTGACCTCTAGTGGTCAAGGCTCATAATCTGTCTTCACACTTTTCCTGGCTTGGTCCTAAAGTAGTCTTGACTTGGTCCTGGTTACCTCCGCCAAGGAGGTTATGTTTTTGCCGGCGTTTGTTTGTTTGTTTGTTAGCAACATAACTCAAAAGTTATGGACCGATTTTGATGAAATTTTCAGGATTTGTTGGAAATGTGAAAACGAAGAACTGATTTCATTTTGGGGGTGATCCGGAAGAAATCCTGGATTCTGGATCACTTTGAAATTTTAGTTAACATTGTGGTAAATGGGGCCACAAATTTTGTTTCTCAATATCTCGGTTAATTATTGACCAAACCCCATGAAATTTGACTCAGGGATGGACAATGGGATCCTCTTTCATATTCCAAAGGCTGATCCGGATCTGATCCAGAAGACTGATTTTATCGCAATTTATATCAAAAATGGGGGTAGTCCTTGGCGGAGGTCTGCGCTCTCTGAGTGCTTTTCTAGTTTAGTGCTAGTTTAGGTCTGGTCTAGTCCATGTTTAGGTCAGGATTTAGTGAGAGTATACTCCCAATTTTATGTGATGGACAGGTATTTGTCATTTTGTGAGGACTAAAGTCTATAAACACCCTCACATTTATAGATTGTTTATAGATTTATATGTCTCCCTGATGGAGACAAGAATGATGCAAATCTTTGTTAGATCAACAACATTGTTTTAAATTCAGATCTGGGTTGAAATAATCACTGTATATATACATGGAGCTAACCTGCAAGCCACCATGTTCCAAATCGACTTGGACTTTTCTGACAAATTGTCAACTCTCTCTGTAACGGCTACAGTGAGCCTCGTCATTTTTGGTCTTAAAATGGGTGTATTAACCTGTCCTATATGATCTTTTGAGTTTTTATTTTTCTGTTTTGTCTGTAAATAAATGTCTATTCCTTATATGGACCTGGCTTGAAATTCACCCCTATAACTGTTGAGTTTCATTTGAGTGGAGTCGAATGCTATGGTTCACATTTGGTTAGTCCACTTCTTTATACAGTCTATTTTTGAAATAGGTCAGCCGTTTAGGTTAAGGTTTGGTTGTAAGTAGTATCTATAGTAAAGGTTAGGTTCAGTCTCCAGGAATTTAATGTAAGTCAGTGTAATGTCCCCATAACACATGTAATGTTTTTAAATATAATGTACTCACCACCTGCGAAACTGGACCACTGCGCTCCATTTATTGTTCCTGATTTACTCCCTGATCGAGATGATCCACACTGTGCGTTTTCATTGGACATACTTTCATGAGACGTGGCATAGATTTTAGAAATAAACTTAAAAATCTAGACATAAAGAGAGAAAACATTCAGATGTGTATTATTTATCATTGACTTTCTAGTATCCATGTCACGATAATAATTTTGATGTGCAATATAGTGATGAAGAAAATAGACGATAAAAGGAAACAAAAACCTTGAAGTAGAATTATCCCAAAAAAACTATTCTAAATGTTAAAAATCATGAGCTGCAATAAATAAACAGCAGAATGAAACACTTAATACTTTGTTTGTATCTGTAATGAGTCATAGAAGTTATTAATTCAACCTTTTGTGGCTTAAAAGTGCATTGTGTAACTTTTCTGGTAGAAGGTTTATCAAATGCTTTTCTCCATGAAGATGTTATTGCTTTATCTGGAATGTTTCACAGTATTTTAGCATTAAACCTTTCTATCTTCATGAAGTCCAAACCAGGCCAAGTTACAGGTCAGATCTGTGGAGAGGCAACCCTCAACAGTCAGAATGTCTGTTTTTCTAGGTATTTTCGAGCTATAAAACCACCTTTAACTGAATATATTTGAGGTAGAGCTGTTTAATGTCATACTGTGGAATAAAAAAACATTTCAATCTTATCGTATTGCTAAAAAAATAACAAAAAATTCCCAAGAGTGTAAAAAAATGTACAGAAGATAAATATTGCCTATTGAATGATAATTGATTTAGTAATTACGGTGACAGGCCTATTTTTAGATGCTCATTCACCTTATCGTCAGGAGTGGGGGAGAACATATTATGCTCCAGAGGATGCTTGGAGAGGTCATAAGGGTAAGAAACCACCAGGTCCCCGCTGTGGAAGTTAGCAGAGAGGACAAAGGGGATGGAGCGTATCCACTTCATCACAGCATAGGTCTCTGGGGCCACCTAAAGTTTGCAGTGATTGACATGTTAAATTAATAAGGAATAAGAACTGTCAAGACAGATATATTTTTTCCTCTAGCATGTATAAGATGTCATACTGTACCTTACCAAACCAGTAAAAGTCTGGGATAGGGATGTGGTCACTGCGATATTTCTTGTTTCTACGGCGACGGTAAGCAATGGACGTCAGGTCAGGGAAGTTTCGGTTGAGGTCGATGTTTTGGGCGTTGTTTCGACCGATGTGACTGAGACCCTGAGAGATACATGTGGGTTATAATAATGCACACAGATTTCTCCTCACCTACACCCCCAAAGGACTGGAGGGGAGGGGCGGAAAGAAAAATTGCATCATTGCCATAGTAATCAACAATCAATCAAGAATTATTTTAAATGGTTCTCAAACGTTCTCAAAATATCCTCAATATTTTACCGTATTGACAATCAGGGACATGTATCTGTGTTGGAAAAAATAAAGGAAAAAATCTCACAAGGGCCTGAAAAACATGACGGATTTCTGCTGAATCAATGAGCCAAGAACTAAACTCTGTTAATCTGAGGTGAGAGAAATTTCTTTTTTTCACAACTCCACTCACTGTACATATAAGAGACAAAATATAAATTAAACAAACAAAACTCAATGCACAATTCATCAACTCTAGAGCTCCATATTTTCCAAAACACAACAGTCTATACTCTTTTTAAAAGGCTTCTACAGTGTTGAACTGTTTAAAGTCATTGCGCCGAATATTTTACAAACCAAAATCTCTACCAGAAATTTCTTTCTTCTTCTTCTTTTTTTTTTTTTATTTATTTTTTATTATTATTATTTTAATTTTATGTATATATATATATATATATATATTATATATATATATATATATATATATTATATATATATATATATATATATATATATATATATATATATATATATATATATATATATATATATATATATATATATATATATATATATATATATAGCACCAAGGGGAGAGAGTTGTTTTTTTTTTGCCCCGTTTATAGTCGTACAAATTAACAATAATGTTAACGAAGGGACAAAAGTTTATTGTTTATGATCGTGCGAAATAAACAACAATGTGAATGAAAGAATGTAAGGATTATTTGTTTTTTGTTTATGGTCGTACAGACTAATAATAATGTTAACAAAGACATAAAAGTTTATCGTTAATGATCGTGCAAAATAAACTACAATGAGAATTTCTGAGGTGAGAGGAATTTCATTGTATTTGTAAATGACACGTGACCAATGAGCTCCTTCGTTTCACATGCACCACTGAAAAAAAAAGACAATTCAAACTGCACGATCATGTTTTGTCCAGAGTTGATCCGTGACATAGGGAGTGGGGACCAGACTGACACCAATCCGTATAAAAATACAGAGAGACATCATTCTGGATTTGCCAAGTTATATATAATATAAGAATCAAAATTGTACCTCATTATCACTGTCCTGCTGCCCGGCGGCCGCTGCCTCGTACCCGTCGGGGTTGAGGGAGGGCAGGATGTGGATGCGTGTGCTGTTGACGAGGGCCTGGATGCGCTCGTTTCCCTGGAGATACTCAGAGCACAAGTACTGAGCCAAATAGATCAGCAGCTGTCGTCCCACAGCCTCATCACCGTGCATGTTCCCCACGTACTTCATCTCTGGCTCCACTACAAACAAAAACACACTGGCCTGTTTATCTGAGCTGTAATCAAAGAAGCATGTGGACATCTCTATAGGCTGCTGGGTAGTGCATTTACTTGATTAACCTTTTAAAGAAATTGTACTTCGTGAGGTAGATGTAATTTTCAGTCACCAAACTTTACTCCAGATGTTACTTCCAGACAGTTACTCTTTAAGTTACTCTTACACCTCGACGCAGATCCAGAAATCAAAAACGACGCCAACAAGGCGACGGCAGCAGTGCGAGTTGAGTCGACGCACAACTATACTTCGTCCTTTACCTGTACAGTAGTTTCAACAAATACTTTTGTACTTAGGCCTGTCACAATAATTACTATATCGTCAATATATGATCGCTGGAACATTATATTTTGTGACTCAGTATTCATCATGAGTACATTTTCTTTGCAGTAGTGGTGAGATTGTGTTTTTTTTTTCATAATAGAATAAGATTTGAGCTGTTCAGGGTAGAAAATCTCTTTTATGCCTGATTATTGGTACGTTCTGTTATTTATTTGTTGCAGCTTATGGATTTTAATGATACTGTTTATTTAAAAATGGTTTACTGGGATTATGTTGCTTTATTTAGCAGCAAGAAGTAGTTTCAGTATTATAGTTTATCGCAATATTTCTCTGTAGCAATACTTTAAAATCTGTATCTATTGTGACGACAGGCCTAGTTGTACTCCTGTTTGTGTAATTTCTTGTACTCTATTTTGTACTTCTACTGGAGTAATGCAATTTTGTATTTACTCTCACTCATGTATATTATTATTCACTACTCTACTCTCTTCTGGCTGTACTTACGCAGCTCATGTTGGCCCGGGTTGTTGGAGAACTCTATCACCAGCAGATCTCTCCCCTCGATGCTCTGGCCGATGCTGTACGTCTTTGCTATGTGAGGGCATCTTTCCTCCGTCCTCTTTAAGATAGTTGTCATTTGGGTGTACGAGTGGTACGAGAACTGCATCTTTGTGGAGGGGTCTTCAGAAAGGGCCATCTCCATACTGTCATTGTGGATGTCTGCGAACTCCTGGTCTGTAAATGAAGTAAAATTAGTAAAGTGCTGTACTTAAAGAGCCCCTATTATGTTATTTTCTGATCTAGGTTCATCACAAACATACCTGGAGTTGTGTTTTGTTTCATTCACACATGTTTAACTCACAAACTGCATATTTAGCAGTTCTTCTCTCAAATGGAAAGTACACCATGATGATTTTAAATTCCATACACCTTCACTAGAATCTTTAGATAATTTTAGCCTTGGAATTGCCAATCTCTACTGAACTTAAGGTCATTTAGAGCTTTGGAGATGTAAACTAATACTAAAGGATTACTCAAATAGGTGTGAGTGAAACAAAACGCAAAACCTAGGTATGATTTTGATAAAGGAAAAGCATCTCAACGTTGCTCAAAGCTCAAATTAAACCATTTAATATAGGACCTTTAAGTATATATTTTAGGTATCTGTACTTCAGTTACATACATTTTTAAGTGGATTCTTTTTAGTTTTACTTAAATACATTTGACAGCAGGTATTTGAACTTTCTACTCCACTACATTTTTGAACAGGACTGGAAAGTAAAAGTATTTTTTGAGATTTGCTGAAAAGGCTGAGGGTTTATTTTAACATGTTCATAATCTGAGCAAACAAAAATATACAAATAAAAACAGCAAGGAAAAAAATAACAATTCAGTTACAAAATTCAGCACAAAACTTTATAAAAATCACTACATTTGAAGCTTCATTAGATCTCAAAATGAGCGTGAAAAACTTTTGGTACATTGTAAAACGCGTACTTCAATACATTTATTTAAGTAGATTTTGTCATGTGATACTTTTACTTCTACTTAAGTATTTCTTTGCCCCAGCATCTCTACTTGTACTTAAATAACAAAATAGAGTAGTTCTTTCACCACTGAACATTTGTAAACAGGGCAGACGTGTGTTATCCATCACAGATATGCAGCCTCAGTTGTGTGCGCCAGGTTTAAATAGGTCACAGTGTGTTTACAGCAGAGTCTGTGTACAGAGACAGTGTAAGTCATCCATCATGGAGAAAATATGTTACATTCACTGTGAATCTGCTGAGGTCTGCTCCTGCTATAATCCACATGTCTTATATCGCTATGGGAACTGGAAAGGGCCTGAGCTACAAAAGGAGCACACAGTACGTCAGCTGTTATCTCATATGATTATACACAGATTTTTTTAAATACTTAAGTTGTGTTTGTAATTCTCGTTTCGAAAGAATGTAGGGAAAAAGCATTAAAACATGATTCAATGATGAGTGATTAATAAATAAGTAAATACTAAACTGAAAGAAACATACATCTTACCATTGTTTTTGTGATGAAATCTAGTGTTCCTTTTTTTTCTAAGTCCATATCAGGTATTAGTCCTACATTACATAAAACTGACTCTCGTGAGCTTTAGGCCACTTTACAATGTTGGTACCTCATCAAAAACATAGCTGAAGTTGCGTTTTGCTTCATTCACACGTGTTTGTTTTATTAACCTGTCTACATCTTCCACCTTGTGATGTCATGAAGCTGTAATTGGGTCATTCCACACCAAATCTCCGAATGCCCCAACCTGACCATCTCAGACTTGACTGAAAAAATACTAGGAGGTTCACACACTTTCTAACAGGAAAAGTCCCAAATTTTAGCTCCCAACACCTTACAGTTTTGTCATTAAAAATATTTTGTCAACTGTTTTGAGCAGAGTTTTCCAACGAGCCACTTTCTGATTGCTGTAAAAAACTATTTAATGTCGGCCCTTCAAACATTCTCCTCTTTAAATCTGAGGGCATCTTTGAAGGACTGTGGAAAGTGCATTTTGAAAGACATAGGTTTGATATTGAACACACACCTTCCCAAACACGCTGTGTACTTTCTTTTTTAAAACTAACGCTCTATAAGATATTAAGTGTTAAAAATGGAAAAAATGTATTTGGTGCCATCTTTACCATGTTATACCAAAAAATTATAGCACCCACCAACATAACATGTTTTAGAAAGACTAGATGTCTGTTTTTAACATACCCAAAATTTGTGATGGTGTTCAGCCTTATTTTTGCAAAATGAATTTTTTAAAAAGTGATGTCTGCATACATGCAGAGCATCCATGGACTATTAAGGCACTTCATATTAAAAATATGTTTAATGACAAAACAATAAGGAGTTGGGAGCTAAAATTTGGGACTTTTCCTATTGCAAAGTGTATGAACCTCCTAGAATTTTTTTCAGTCAAATCTGAGATGGCAGTCGGAGATTTGACGTGGAATGATCCAATTACTACCTTTTACATTTAGTTCAGTAGAGATTGGCAATTCCAGGGCTGATATCATCCAAATGACTCTAGAGACGGTGTATGGATTTTAAAAACACAGTGGAGCACTTCATGTATTACCACGTGACATCACAAGGTGGAAAAGACAGCCTAAATATGCAGGGTCTGTGTGTTAAACTCCAGGTCTGTTTGTGATGAGGACATTACAACAAATCAGAATATAGTGTAATATGGGCCCTTTAACGTATACTGCAGATTCCATTTGCTCCTTGTTCATATTTTGTTTGAGCTCCCACACCGACCAGTCTATGTAAGAAGAACTTGAAGCGACATACCAAGAGAAAAATGTTCAAATTAAATAAATATGGAAAAGTAACCTTGAGCCAGTGCATTTTTGATTCTGTTACAGACTTGAATACACCTCTTCATTCCACAGGTTGACATTTACGACCAGATTTTTAAAAAGCACTACGTTTCCATTTTCTGCCACTTTTTATAGTATGTTTCAGATTTTCCTGATATCATATGGTTCACACATGAAACGTCTGGAACACGCTGAGTTTTGTTTTTCCACTAACATAGCGTTCGCTTAAGGAATTTACAGTTGTTTTTACAAAATACTTTCAGACATCAGTGGTTGTTTTGCGGTAAAGTTAAGGATCGGTTTAAAACAGTCTCCTGCTGGAAATTCAAGGAAATAGCCAGAGGAGAGAGTGTGAGGATGTGCGCGTTCAAATAGGGCATTCCTGATAGATGTTGTCTTGAGGTAAACCACATGTGTGCAAACCAGAAACCGCGGAAACTTTACGGATTAGGGACTGCTGTCTGTCTAGTAAGATCAGAAACACTCACAGTACAGTTAAAGCGTGGCACTTAACTGTTAAAGGTCCTGTATTACACTAAATGGACTCTTGTGAGCTTTAAGACAGGTTATAATCTTGTATGGCATCAAAAACATACTTGAAGTTGTGTTTTGTTTCAGTCATAGATGTTTGAGTAATCCTTTATTATTAGTCTGTCTACATCTCCAAAGCTCAAATGCTCTGTTCCACCTTGTGATGTCATGTAGTGGTAGTTTTCATGTTAACAGCTCTTTTTTTCAGTAGAGACTGGAGATTCCAGGATTTAAACTATTATTATTCAATGATTTTTCTACTATGATTAATATTTCATTATTATTATTATTATTACAGTGTGTGTTGATTATCTTTGTTTTTGAATTACTGTATTTTCTGCACTATTAGACGCGCTCTTAAGCCTCCAACCCCATCAAAAAACGACGGCGCACCCCACAATCCAGAGCGCCCTATACACGAATCCACTCGGGTGTCCCAGCACGACTTCAGTAAACTACAAAGCCGCACCACCCACAGCGCACGCAAACACACACGGAGCAGACAGCGACCGCACAGCGAAAAACACCCACAGCCACACTCATCACTCCACGAGGAATGGAACGGAGGAATGAACTGAAAAAGCGAGTGCAATGTGCCACTTCTAGACACAACTGAACAACTGAGTCACTGCAAACACGGCAACAATCCAGCGGTCCCAGACAGCAGCCTCCCTACACGCCACAACTGAACAAAGCCCAGAGTCACCATGAACTCGACAAACAAATTCCCACTGACCCATCCAACTGTTGTGTTTCGTTTAAAGTTCAGTGGCATTTTATTTGTGAAAAGTTAGAAAATAGACCATTTAATGACAGTGTGCCTTATAATCCAGAGCGCCTAATAGTGCAGAAAATACGATACAAAAAGTCTTATTCCACCGGCAGATCTTTTTACTTAGATCATGGCAAAACTTTCTTAATTCAAGTTGTTTTAACTTGGCTAGATTTATTTATTTATTTATTTTTTTGCAGTGTATGCAATAGTAATACTGGCCGTACAAATATTAGACAAGTAAGTTTAAGATTCTGAACAGAAAAGTTACATAGTGTACCTTTAATGTCTATAATGTCATAATTACCTCTGAGTCCTTCCAGTGGATTGTAACAGCCTTCTTCTTCACTGACAAAGAAGCGGTCACAGTCCAGGAAGTAGGGCCAGGCCATGCGGATGTCATCAAAAGCCTGACTGCATCTGGCCTTCACCGCTTCACACGTGAACCTGCAGGGCTTCTGGACTTTTCCGTTGTCACAGCGGGGGGCCACCACGGAGCACCCCAACATCCGAATCTCTGGGTTACACTCCCCCCCGAGAAGAGCCTCCACCACGGACATGAGGAGGTACTCTGCTCCGGACTCGGCTTCCTGGCGAGATTTGTGTCCAAGAATATTCGGGAACATGGTTTTGGTGTAGGACATATCGTCGCAATATGACAGCAAAACATCTGTGCATTTGGCTGAAGAAAACACAGAGTTTTCAGGCGAGAAGTCAAAAAATTATTATTCACAGCACTCTGCAAAAAGCAATAAAGCAGCATATCTTGGTTAAAGTAAAAATGACTTAAATTAAGAACATTTTACATTTAGATCATTTGAGTAGATTCAATTTGACAAGTAAAATGATCTACCAGTGGAATAAGTGTGTTTTTCTTCATTCAAACATTACATTTTGTTTCTTATTTTATCTGCAAAGAGTTGTTGTTTTTCTTATCTCAAGTGAAGCAAGATGTATTTTCATATATTAAGTACAAAAAGTCATGTTCCATTGGCAGATCATTTTATTTGTCAAGTGAAATTTACTCAAATCATGATAAAACTTTTTTAATTCAAGTCATCTTAACTTGGCAACAGAACTGAGTCATCTTATCTGTTTGGAGTGATACAATTTCCTTTTGTCTAGTGTTTAATATATGAGCTTGCTGTGTCTATTATCTCTGGAAATTAGAATTTGAATATTTTATACAATCGTTGATCATCTAAAAATATACGTGATAGTTTTAGGGCAGATTTTTCATTAAGAGAGTCTGCTCTAAATAATGATCTCATGCGCTTGGGGAGAAGTACAAACCCTCAAATAAAACTGATCATTAAACCAAAATGAACAATTAAGCAAATTCCTCTAGAGACAAGATAATCAGGATTGCCTACAGAAATTAAAAATAAACAAAAGTCCTACATAAACATCATATGACCCGTCGTAGCTGATTTTTAAAGAGCCCATATTACACTTTTTCTGATCTATGTTATAATGTTGTTTCCTCATCCAAAACAGACCTGGAGTTGTGTTTTGTTTCATTCACACATTTTTAACACACAAACCCTGCACATTTAGACTGTGTTATTCTCTCAAACTGAAAATACTCTGTTCCACCTTGCTCCATCATGTTTTTAAACTCCATACACCTTCACTACTAACCACAACTACACCACTAACTGGAAAACTAATGCTTCATGACATCACAAGGTGGAACAGAGCATTTTGAGCTTTGGAGATGTGGAGATGCAGACAGACTAATAATAAAGGATTACTCAAACATATGTGAATAAAACAAAACACAATTCCGGGTATGCTACTGACAGTGTTGGGAAGTAACAGATTACATGTACCAGAGTTATGTAATCAGAGTACAAATTATGAGTAACTGTATTCAGTTACAGTTACTGTTTGAATGAGTGGTAAGTAGATTACAGTTACTTTGTTGAAATAAATGGATTACACTGTGGTATTTTCCTGTTTTCACATTTTGGGCTATATCCCTTTTTTTTTTTTTTCTCTGTAATCAAGTCTAAACCAGGATTAAACCAAGACTAAAACCAGGTCTAAACTAGATCTAAACCAGGTCTAAAACCTGGTCTATACTAGGTATAAACCAGGTCTAAACCAGGACTAAACTAGATCTAAACCAGGTCTAAAACCTGGTCTAAACTAGATCTAAACCAGGACTAAACAAGGACTAAAACTAGGTCTAAACTAGATCTAAACCAAGTCTAAATCAGGACTTAACCAGGACTAAACCAGGTCTAAAACCAGGTCTAAACCATGTTTAAAACAGGATTTAACAGGACTAAATCATGCTGCGAGGACCGTGTCTCCTCCTCTTCTATCAATAATACTTTTAATATGGTTCAGTAAAGTCTGGGATTTTCATTTTCTTTTAGCAGACAAAACATCTTATGTGAAGATATCCTGGTCTTTGTTTCTCTAGAGCAAATCAAGTAATCCAAAGTATTCATATATGTTACTCACTTAAAGTAATTTAATGGATTCCATTACAAACTACATTTTGGGGTATGTAATCTGTAATCTGTAGGGGAATACATTTTAAAAGTAACCTTCCCAACACTAGTTACTGATAACAGTCTAACATGGCTTAAAGCTCACAAAAATCAGCTTTGGGTAATATAGGACCTTTAAGTAAATTCAAATATACAGTAATTTTTAAAAGTTTCAAAAGGAGCACTTCCTGGACCTCCAGAGGATAATACACAGTATATAAAACACAGTGGTGCTCTTTGGGGAAGGGAAGTCAATTTAAAGATGCAAAAAACCCAAGGCACTGTCTAGTTAAAATAAAATGCCTTTATTAATTTACAGCATGTCATAAATTAATAAAGGCATTTTATTTTAACCAGTCAGTGCCTTGGGTTTTTTGCATCTTTATACAGTAAGTTATTTAAGCATTTAAGTTATGTTCTATAGTACAGCGGTTCTCAGACTGGGGGTTGGAAAATAGTATGTAATATTCTTAAACAAAGACTGACCAAATGAACGTATCTAGTCCTTTGTCTTATCATAAGGCCAGTTTATTATTTTGTGGGGAACCTAATTTGTGAAAAATGAGAGGGGCATTTTTGTTGTTCTGTATTTATTGTGGGTGTTGCTTTATGTTTTTGCGTTTTGTTTAATGTTGATTATTGTATTTTGTTAAATGTTATATTCTGTTGTCTTTAATTAAAAAAAAATGTGTTTGGGAGTCCAGACCAATTTAGTTCTGGTATTAACACTGTTCAGATTAAAAGTACACTGTGCAACTTTTCTGGTGAAGGGTCTCTATGGAGATGTTATTGCTTTGCCTGGAATGTTCCATGGTATGACATTAAGCATATCTATGTAGTATTTATTCATTCAACATCTTTCTATGCTCAAAAATAAAATAATTCCTTCTGTGAATAGGGGCGACTCTCCACAGATCTGAACTGTAATGTAGTATAGTGCTGAAACCTGCGTATCTCCTTTGTTATACAGTAGATACAGTAGATAGTCACTCGAGCAGTGGTGGGAGAAGTACTCAGGTTTGTAGTAAGTACAGATACTGGAGAGAAAAAACTAAAATAAGTGAAAAAATCTATTGAAGTAAAAGTATAAAAGTATCTGTGAAGAATCCCTCAGTTGTCCAGGTAGAATCCACGGTGAGGAGAAAATTCAGTTTGTCAACTGGACAAAAGTTAATTGGTTGAATACGTTTTGCAGCTCATCCAAGCTGCTTCTTCTGGTCAGACGCTGGTGGACACTTTCTTACATCTGTCTGCAGGAAGGAGCTAACTACAATAAAATTACTCTGAAACTACCACATCTGCTTGTTTACAGTTTCTGTTTGTTAGTTTGGCCTATTGATCTTGTGTTGGGGCTAATTAGCAGAACAATTCATGGTCATAATGGAACTTCACACCTCTGGGCCAGACCTGGCTACACCTTTTGTTCTCTTGTTTGCATTGAATTAGGTTTGAGGATGGAGTTGTAAATAGGAGATAGATGGTGTCTGAGGCCTCCATTTCTGTTTAGAGAAGGATTCTCTAAATGTCGACCCTAGAGTAAAGAGTAAAGCTATTTCCTGCTGAATTTTGTTGAGCAGAAACAGCAGAATTCCTTTTTTTATTTGTTTATTTTTGTTTGGTTAAACTATAAACATAAAAATAAACCCTCAGCCTTTTCAGCAGATTTCAAACTACATAAAAAAAGAAAAAAACTTTTACTTTTCAGTCCTGTTCAATCATGTAGTAAAGTAGAAAGTACAGATGCCAGCTTTAAAATATAATGAAGCAAAAGTATCCACATTAAAATGCACTAAAATAAAGCACAGATACCTCAAATTTATACTTAAATGCAGTACTTTACTACTTTGAAATTGGTACATACATTTAGCATTTATTCACAATGGTTTTTATAGCTCAAAAACACAATAATTCCTTCTGTGTATATCCCCAACACAGATTTGACCTGTAATGTAGCGTAGTGTTAGTGTTAATCTATACTGTGGAACATTCTAGGCAAAGCAATAACATTTCCATGGAGACAAGCAGGTGATGGACCCTCCACTAGAAATGTTAAGAGGTGCACCTTTAAATAATAGGTCTAAAGAGTTTCAAAACAATACTTACGTTTGTCCTCCACTATGATTGGCCTGCAGTGCCCTGTAAACAAACCACAGTCCATTTACCAACACGGTGACAGACACTAGAGGGCAGAGTGGACACATTAAAACTTCTATTGGACCATGGATCACAACAAGGCAATAAAAACAGTTTAAATAGTTTGTTCTACACAATCTAATAATTGTAAATCCTGTCTATCATAACTTAAATGTTTATAATTTCTATTTAAACTGATATAACGAGTTAATTCTTCAATTTCCCCGTAGCAAACCTGAGTAATCTTACACTTATAAACATTAGTTTATGGACTGCTACGTTTTAATCTGTTATTTTTTCATAGCTAGGCATTGTTTTCCCACATAAGCAAAGTTTTAAGTGCATTGTGTAACTTTGTAAGCTTCTAACTTTGTCTGGAATGTTTCACAGTATGGCATTAAACCTTTTTATCTTCATGGACCCCAAGCCAGGGCAAGTTAGGTCAGATCTGCGGAGAAGCGACCCGGTCACAGTCAGTTTTTCTCTGTGTTTTTACGCAATAAAACCACCTGCGATTGAATAAATGTAAGCATAGCTGTTTAAGGTCATACTGTGGAACATTCCAGGCAGAGCAGTGACATTTCCGTAGAAACAACCAAGTGACGGACCCCCAACCAAAAAGTTACACAGTGCACCTTTAAGTCTATCCTCTTAGGCTGTGTGCAAAGTTATAAAAAGTTAAGTTTCATGCAGGTAAAGTATAATTAGGATGTGTCAAATCAGATGTTAATTCCAATAAAAAAAGTGTACCTCGGACTTGTGGGTCACATCGTGGAGAACCAAAAACAAACGCCCAAAACTGGATCAAAATGAGGAGCGTGAAGCCCATTTTACGCACTTTTCGATCCCTTTTAGATGTGGCACTTCCTCCAGCCGCGTGTGCGTGTCTCCCGTACGCGTCCTCAGAAAGTCCTCGGCTTCAAGGAAAGAAGGAAAGCTGCGATATTATTACAAGTATTACGGTCAACTATCAAATTACACACGGAGACGCTTTGAACAAACAGCTGTGGGCTCGTGCGAAAAACGCCACAAACCAGACCAGAGAGTTACAAACAAACATTTCCTATTACCAATTGATTGCTTTTTTATTATTTTTTATTAAGTTACATAATGCTGTTGTGTTTAGCCAAGGGTGACCAGATTTTCAGAATTGTAAACTGGGACACACCCGGGTTGGGATGGTTGGTATAAATAAAATAGTGAAAAGAGCGTGCAGCATTTTGTATTGTCGTGTCAGTCATAATCTGAGGAGCTCGTGTCTGTGTCGCTTCATGGTCATTTGCAAACACGCGTTTCCGTGTCTTGGCTAAACAAATGACAATGTGTGCTCCTCTTTACTGTTAGCACTGATCAGATTAGGCAAAAATTGTGACAGTCCTGTTTTAGTCCTGGTTTAGACCTGATGTAGTCCTGGTTTAGTCATAGTTTAGTCCTGGTTTAGACCTGATGTAGTCTTGGTTTAATCTTAGTTTAGTCCTGGTTTAGACTTGATGTAGTCCTGGATTAGACCTGATGTAGTCCTGGTTTAGACTTGATGTAGTCCTGGTTTAATCTTAGTTTAGTCCTGGATTAGATCTGATGTAGTCCTGGTTTAAACCTGATGTAGTCCTGGTTTAGTTTTAGTTTAGTCCTGGTTTAGACCTGATGTAATCCTGGTTTAGACCTGGTTTACATCAAATTGGTCAAAAATAGGGACACCTGGGACATTTCTCGTATAAAACAGTTTTGTTTTTTTTTTTCAGTCCTTTTTCTCTTTTAAAGGTGCCAGACAGTGGAACTGATTACCAGCTGATTTAAAATCGGGAACAAATTTTACAAACAACAAATTTAAAAGTAAATTTTAATTATTCTGTGTTTCTAATCAGACATGCATCCATCGAAAATTTACTGTATATATTTTATCTGTATGTAACTTAAGTGTCTTGTCTTATCTGTTTTTATGTTTTAAGTAGTTTATATGTCTTTATACTTGCACTTTTGCTAAAACACCCAAAGCAATGCATCTGGCTTGTCTAATGTGATCTTAATAAACATAAAAAGAGAATAAATCTCTGGTTTTGGATAAATCTGCTGGGACAGGAGACACAGGGCTCAAAACTGGAACTGTCTTGGGTAAACAGGGATGTCTGGTCACCCTAGTTTAGACAGAAATTGTTATATCTACAACAGCAAAAACAAACACATGTTGATGCCCGTAAAGGTCACGTGACACTGTTTGATGAATAAGATTAGTCTACTTCTTCCCATGGTCAACATATAAACATGTAATTTCTGTGTCCACCACTTTCATGTCTCCTTGGGGACATTTGCCTGGAATGTTCCGCAGTATGGCATTAAACCTATCTACCTCAGTGGTGAAACAGAGGCCTGCCACTGGGGGAAGTTACAAGTCAGATTTTTGGAGAGGCAAGATAATGACAGTAAAGAACCCATTCTAATTCGTGAGCATTAAGACCTTCTTATTAGGGGTGTAACGATATTCAACTCTCACTATACAATATCGTCACAGTATGAACCTCAGGGTACGATATTTATTGCGATATCATGGGAAAGCTCACAATATGGTGGGGAGGCTCACAATTAGGAATGTAACAATATCCAAATCTCTCGGTACGATATTTTCACGATGTACATCTCACGGTATGATATTTATTGCAATATTTTGTGGAGACTAAACAGCTAAAACTGTGAATATGTGACTTTTTCCTCTTAAAATGTCTTGACAAGACTTAAAAGTGCTTAGAACTGTTATTTCTTCTTGTATTCTACACTGAAATGGAGCAAAGGATCATGGTCTATGTAGTTCTCTCTGTCTTTTTTTTTTTTTTTTTTTTTTAGCAATTTCTGCACCATAACTCTTAATTTAAGCAAAGAGACTTGTAATTCGATATATTGTGTTGGTCCACGATATTATTGACGAAACAATATCATGATATTTCATGGTTATTGTTACATCTCTACTTGTTATAGAATAAAGATGAAATTAGTTGGAGAAGTGTAAATTCTGGATCCCAAATGAGTTAAATCCCATACTGTCTGGCATACGCTCTGGCAGACCAGTCACATCTCCATGGAGACAAGCAGGAAAGTTACATAGTGCACTAAAGATATGAGGCTAGTACAAATGGAAAAAAGTCTGAAATGTATCATACAAGTCAGTCCTGGGGCTGCGTAGTCTTGATAGATATATTTTTGTAAGTCTATTCTTTGCTGTCCTCTTCCTAGACTTAGTTAAGCTGTTTACTTTGCATCTAACTTTGCTAATGTCTGTGGACTGTCCCATGTAGTAAATCTTGTCACGGCCGCCTGACTCTGCTTGTGTTGTACCTTTTGAACTAATTACTGTGCCCTCTCCTTCTACAAGCTGTTGAAATTAAAATTAGCATAATAGGTTGTGTGAATATTCATCATACAGCCAGGCAGCAGCACCCTTGGGCGTAAGACTGCAGAGGATGTCTTCGGAGGAAACTTGGCCTGTGGCAAAGCTTATGTCAGACTCAGAACAGAGTATTAAGACTAAATGAGAAAATGAACAATATTATTATGTATTATTTAGATGAATGCACTTTTAACCTTATCAAGATACACACTGCACAAGCATGGAAGTACTAAAAAGTAATTTAGAGAGAATTTGCTTTGTGTTGTGCCCGGAAATGTTATGGTACAAACCAGGTTACACATTTCACTCGACTTTTTGTGTGTCCCAAGTTTGGATAAACCACAGAAGGAGCCTCAGTCCAATCAGGTTCATTTGGTCTTCTGATATTTTATGTTATTAAGTTCATTTTTCAGACCAAGAGTTTGTTTTCATACCTGACAATTTCGACTGTTCGGTCTTCCTCAGTGGTCACGTGATGTCGCTGTGACATGTCCGGTCAGCTGATTTAAACAGATTTTGGAGCTGTTTTCCTACCGGTGGAGGCAGGTTGACAGCGCCATCTGCAGTCAGACTTTCTCAGGACAGTATCCCAGGTGTGTGAGAGTAAAAAAGCTCCCTAGTTTTGGTTTATAGTCCTGTGGGTGTGTTTCTGTATTTCGAGAAGGTGCCTCATTTGTGTACCTGACCAGCCAGAACCACACACTTTCACATATATTACAAAGACAAGTGGATCTGAGCTATATACTGTCTTTGTGACATTTCAGAGGGCATAATTGACAGGCGGCTTAACCAGTCAAAGAGACACATGCCTCGTTGCATCAAAAATAAACAGCTGCTTGTACATAAAAAAGGGGGAAAAAAAACATAAATGACTGAGAAACAGCATGGATTTTTGCAGAATCAACAAATGAAGCACCAAATTATTACTTATCTCAGGTAAAAGAAGTTATATATTTAGTTCTGACAGCAAATTTTTAAGACGCGCGACTCAAATTAGCAGCTGTGGTTGGATCATCTCAAGTTTGGATGGAGAATTTTCCTGTTCTAAAGTCCGGTTCCAGTCCTTTCTGGATTTGAACAGAATGAAGAAGGGACTGGCTGGACAGGCAACTCAATTGTGGTATCTGGCTGAAAACTAATTACAAATCAATATCACCAAAATCAATCAAAAGTGATTTGCTATAGCAGTCCCTGAAGAGAAAGCATGAAACGATTGAAGAAACACCTGGCAAGCAACAATACATGCGATAAATGCGCTGTTCCATCACCCAATGTTGTTCTTATGTAATCTTGTTTACCTGATTCCTGAGCTCTCTCATTAAATCCTTGTAATGATGCCATAATTATGAGTGTGTGTGTGTGTGTGTGTTGAGAGGCGGGGGAAGCATGGTTAGAAAAAACAACATTCTGGTGTATTTAACAGTTTGATCTGACTTTGAAGTGTCCATTGATTTAGCCATATTGAAACTTTCACACAGGCTCCCACAGAATGGAAAATGGAATGTTTAATTCACAGCATGACATTAAACCTTTTCATCTTCATGGAGAACAAAGCAGACCAAGTTACAGGTCAGATCTGTGGAAAGGCGATCCCCCACAGTCAGGATCCTTGTTTTTTCTAGATATATTTGTGCTATAAAACCACCTGTAATTGAAGGTAAATGTGTTTAACATCATAATGTGGAATATTCTAAGCAGAGACATATCCATAGAAACAAGAAGGTGATGGACCACCCCAACCGAAAATTTACACAGTGCACCTTTTAGATTACTTTAATTAAGAAAGTTTTATTATGATTTGAGTAAATTTCACTTAACAAGGAAAATTATATTAGCCTGATTCATCAGCCAGTTTCACTTTGTAGAAACCGTCTGACCTCGCAGCATTAGAATTCGTTCGTTCAACAGTAGGCAGGTACTTTTTTTCATTTAATCAATCGTTGCTATTTGGTCATGACATATGTCTAACGGGGTGAACTGGTATATTAAGCTTTTTCCAAATCCCGTGGGAAGAAGGGCAATAACATCTTTCCCCTTGATGAAATTCACCAAACATTCTCTTTGTTCTGGCTTTAAATCCTCGATCTCGGGAATCGTTGACAACACAGGGTGTATGGCTCTTAACTGATTGGCTGGTGCCCGAACTTGCACTTCCAGGGTTCTTGCAAACCGTCTAGTGTATTCTGATTCCTGACCTAGTCGCTGGAAAGAAATGAAATTGAGAGGAGACACTAGGTGGCACCAGCCTGTCTAATATTATATACCAATGGAACAATACTTTTTGTACTTAAAATATGAAAATACATCATGCTACCCTTAAGATAAGAAAAATAGCAACTCTTTGAACTTACAATAAGAAACTAAATCTAATATTGTTTGAATTAAGAAAAACACTCTTATTCCATTGGTAGATAATTTTACGTATCAAGTTGAATTATCTTAATTTAAATTATTTTAA